TGCCCCCCTCTCTCTCTCTCTCTCTCTCTGTGTCGGAGTGTCTGCTGGGAGTGGGCAGATCGTGTGACAGTGTGCGGTAGCTACCTGTGGCTAGTGTGAAAGTTGATTTCAAACTTTTGGTTTGGGTTTCTTTCTATATTTAAGATTGGTGAGTCTCTGTGCTGTGCAACTGTGTGTTTATTTTTTTTATATTATGGCATCCCGCTCTGACGGGCGTGAGTCAGGGTCTTCGCTGTGGTACGAGATCAGGTGTGAGACTGATCCCGAGGTAACCGTGTGGGACATCTTGCTACGTGTAGGGGAGCGGGTGGGATGTGACAGTATTGTGTCAGCATAGGAGCTTAATCAATTTGGATTTCAGGAAACTTCCATTAAGGTGCAAGTCTCAAGCGTTGAAACATGTGGTATCATTTAGGCAGCAAGTGATTATGATTTTGAACGATCCTGCATTAGACTTTTCTTTTAGGGTGCGCTGTGAGGGTGTGTCGGATATCTTATATGCCAGTATGGGCAGTCTGCAATGTTTTGAGTATGGAGGCATCGGCCATAAAAGGCTGTCTTGTCCGCACAAGACTCACCCCATTGAGACGGTGGGGAACGGTGGTGAGGAAGTTCAGATGGTTCAAACGGGGACGGGAACATGCAGGGCAGAAGGACGAGCCAGCTGATTCTCCTGATGAAGGAAGGTCGGGTGGGACCGGTGACGGAGTGAGCGCCGGTACTGCTGCCGGAGAGACTGGGGATGGTGGCGAGCCGGCCGTAAATGTAGAGCCGGGTGCTGACTTAGCGGAGTCGGATCACTGCGCTGAAGTCAGTGACGGGTCGGGGGATACTGTGTATGATGGGAGAATTGTATTGGACGTTGCTGCCGAGGCTGCATGCGATGACAGTCTCTCAGACGTCTCGGAACTGGCTTCGCAGGCGGGGGATGATCAGCAGCAATATCCCTAGGAAGTAGTTAGTGGATTTTTGGATGAGAGCTATGGGAAGTCAGTGCAACTTTCGGATTTCTTTCCAGACGGTCAGACGTTTTTGGATTCGGTGCTGCATCGGTTGGTGCAGGATCGGGGCTTGATTGATGTTTGGCGGGGGAAGCACGAGGGGGTGGCACAATTCACCTGGGTTAGAGTATCAGCTAGCAGGGTTAGTGCCGCTAGGCTAGACAAGATTTATGTGTCGAAGTTTGGACGGAATAAAGTTCTAACGGCACGTATAACTCCGTGTGCTTTCTCTGCTCACCACTTGGTGTCGGTTATTTTTGACAAAGACCTCGTCACCGAGATGCTACTGGCGCTTTGACACCAGGTTGCTGCTGGATGGGTGTTTTTGTAGGGGATTTAGCATCCTGTTGGGATGTGGGTAAAGTTCAGACTAGGGTGTTTTGCCAGTAGTATGCTGGTCAGTCGACAGTGTTTAGCAGCGTTCTTCAGGATCTGGAGAGGGATGTTTCCTTATTTGAGAAGGATTAGGTTGTTGGTGCTGCCGATGACACTGTGGGGGTATTGCAAAGCAGGAGGAAGGCCTTGAGATCCTTCCTGAATGAACGGGCAAATGGGGCTTTAGTCCGGGGATGGGGACCTTCGGCTCCATGAACTGACGTCGGCGGTTCAGCGGTTGTCGCTTGGGAAGGCGCCGGGCATCGATGGCGTGCCAGCAGAACATTTCTGGCACTTATTGGGTCCAGATCTTTATGAGGTTTTTTACGGGACTCTGAGGGCCGGATGGCTGCGGACTAGCTACACGAGAGGTGTGCTGAAAAAAGGGGATTTTGGCTCGTTAGCGGACTGGAGGCCCTTGTCCTTGATGTGCACCGACTATAAGATTCTGTCTAACTGCCTTTCTAATAGGTCGGCATGCTGCATGGGGGACTTGTTGCACCGTGGTCAGGCCTATTGTGTTTCTGGGCGCACCATACTGGACAATCTTTTTTTGATGCTTGATGTGCTGGCTCTGTGTAGCCTAGATTCGCTTGACTTGGGGGGTCATTTCCATTGACCAGGAAAAAGCTTTTCATAGGGTGAGTCATGGGCACCTTTTTCCCCACTCTTGCAGCTTTTGGCATGGGGCCAACCTTCCTGTCATGGATAAGACTCTTGTATGCTGAAGCATCTGTGATGCTTAAGGTGGGGTCGGGGCCGAGCTGCCCCATAAAAGTACGGGGGGGGTATATGGCAGGGCTGCCCGTCATCTGGTCAGCTATACTGTCTAGCCATCGAGCCCTTGCCGCGTCGGCTGAGGGCTGAGATGCAGGGGCTACCAGGCCCATGGCACATAACTTTGTCCGCATATGCTGACGATGTTTCAGTGTTTGTGCGGGGGGGGGGGGGAGAGGCTGTTCAGGCGCTTACTCGCCTTCTTGTATGGCTCCAGACCGCATCTTCAGCGAGTGTTAATTGGAATACGTGGACGTGTTTAGTGAGCGATCGGCAGGGAGGGGTACCGTCGAAGTTGCAGGGTTAGGTCGGGTATGAAATATCTTGGTGTGCATTTCGGATCGGAAGAATTGGGAGGGGCTGCTGGAGGACGTGTGCATCAGGTTCTCCTTGGACGTGGATCCTGCCTCAGCTGTCCTACAGGGGGAGGGTGTTGGTGGCTAATAACCTGGTGACGTCCAGACTGTGGCACAGGTTCATGGTGTTGGAGCCGCCGCCCGTGCTGATCAGAGAGCTCCAGAAAAAGCTTGTAGACTTTTTTAGGTCCGGTCAACACTGGATCTGTGCTTCGGTGCTTTATCTGCCAGTGGGGGAAGGAGGTCAGGGGCTTGTGGACATTGTTGGCCGAGTCGCGGCTTTCAGACTAAAGACGGCTCAGAGGTTGTTGTATGGCGGAGAGTTCTTGTGGGCCGACACAGCCTTGCATGTTACTGCGGCGAGTGAAGGACTTAGGTTATGATAGACATCTGTTTGTACTGGACCTGAAACCTGTGGACATATCAGCGACCACCAAGTTTTATCAGTCTGTTCTGAAAGTGTGATCATCTGTATTGAGAGTTGATAGGCCTGGCTCTCTGCCGTGTATCAGCGTGGAGGAGGAGCCCTTGTTTTATAACCCCCTGATTCAGACCAGTGCGCTGTGGTCTGTTTTTTTCCCAACGGCGCATGGTGGCGGCGGGTATTACTAAGCTTGGGCATTTGAGACAGGGTGGGGCCTGGAAGTCTGCTTCAGCCTTGTGCATTGAGATTGGGCTCCGGTCAAGCCGTGTCATTCAGTCGATCCTTAATAAAATCTCCTTGGCTCTGCCTGAAGGGTTTTGGAGGGCTGTGGAGGACGGGGTAGGGGACCGGCGATGGCTTTTCCCGACCTTGCATGTTTTAACAGTGGTGGAAGGACATTGGGAAGATGATGGTCTGTTACTCTCCTTCAGAGTGTCGCGTCGGAGAGACTTTGCGGGGACCTCTAAGAAGGAGCTTTATGAAGTGAGTCAAAGTTTTTAATAACGGCTCTCTGACAGGGGTGGCAGCTTCTAGGTGGTTGGGCACTTTGGCACCTGGCGCTTCCCCCATGGGTTGCTGGAGGACTCTGTACAGACCCCCTATAGAGAAGCGTACAGCTGACCTGCAGTGAGGTTGGTGCACGGGGCTGTGGCCACGAATCGACATGCGGCACATCGATCCATCGGTGGTAGCGGACTGCCCTTTCTGTGGGCAAGATGAAACTGTGGCGCATCTTTTTTTGAGGTGCGAAAGGCTTGGGCCCATGTTCTTAAAGCTTGAGGCATGGTTTGGTGGGTTCGGGGAAGATTTCTCAGACATCATTTTATTTTAATGTCCAAGACATAAGGCGCGTGAGAAAGCCAATTTGCATGCTGAATTTTCTGGTGGGACAGGCCAAGCTTCTTGAAAAATTAAACTGAGAGGCGCTGGGCCGACGGATGCCAAGTCTATACTGGTGGGGCTGGTAGTGATGGGGCTCAGGGTGGAGTGTGTGTACTCTGTGCTGACCCCCACCCTGTAGGAGGTGCAGTGTGGGTGCAAAGCAGAGTGTTGTGTGAACTCAGCGATGATCAAAGTCTAGTGTTAAAAGTGTGACGGTGCATGGCATAATCTGGCTTTTGTGGATCTGTGTGCGGATTTTATTCATTCATTCATTTATTAGATTTTTTACTGCGTTTGTTCGTGTATTTGTCTTAATAAAGAGATTTTAAAGGTCTCTCTCTCTCCCTTATCTTCCCTGTGGGTCTGTCACTCTGTTCCCTAACCCCCCATTCTCTGTTGACAGGCACTGACCTGCACAGGGCCATCAGTTTGCAGTCGGAGCCGTCCTGCCAGCCCCTCACCTGGCCGAGGTCCAGCAGGACACGAGATACCGGAGACACGCCCTCCTCCCCCGCGCGGCTCACCGAAACCTGCAGGGGGTGGGGGGAGAGTGAAGCCATGGAAAAGGCGGGCGTAGGCAGCCGACAGTGGGTCGCGGCCCAACCCCCATCTCGTTACCTTTCTCCGGATGAGCTCCAGCAGGTTAGGCTGGGTCCGCCGAAAATAAGGGTGCTGGAACTCCACGCCACCGCCTCCCCGGCCCTCGGCCCGAAGCAGGCCTGCCTCCACCTGCAGCACCTTCCGGAAGCCGTCTGCAGTGGCAGGCAGGGGGATACGTGAGGTGGCAGCCGGAGTGACCGAACATCAGCCTCACCCCACTGTACTGATCCTGCAGCACTCAGCCAATCAAACACAGCTTCCACGTTCTCCAGAGGGATAGGAAAAATTATAGACACTGCAACTTTACCAGTGAAGTTACATATGAAGTTTAATCTGCTAACTCTTTGTGTCTCCATATTCTTATTTCATGTAAAAGTTCCAGTTCCTGCTGTACGGTAATGGTGTAGCTCCCCCCCCCACCGTGTGTGTCAGAGCCCGGTAAGGGTGTGCCCCCCCACCTTCCAGGTTATGTACTCACACATATTCAGCTGCCGCACAAAGCTGGTCATGTTACTATGCTTGAAGTACAGAGGCAGGATCTCCTTGCAGAAACGCTGCTCCTCACATACTATGAAACTGCAGCCATCCTGCAAAGGGGGAGCAGTCAGGGAATTAATGACGGCTTGTAAGGAGACAGAGTCTGAAATGCACATCTACACACAGCTCGGCTGCTATCTAACCTTCACCTCCTTTATGAAACTCTCAACCGATTTCTCCAATTCTAAACACAGTGATTCTTACCACAGTGATTATCTTATCAGAAGAGGTCTTCCTCTGTTCCTTTGCTCAGAGGAAAGGACGTGGTCTGGTCATTCTTGCCTTGCTTTAGAATTTCTGACAATTGCACTCATAAATATTGAATGATTAAGCGATTACTACAGAATGTTACAAATTTTCTTCGCGGTGTCTCTACTGTCAAACACAGTTTACCGGTGTCATACCACTCATTTCAGTTCTGTTTTGTTTACCACGCAACATCACGTATCAATTTTTTGCGTTATAACATCCTTATTTTTCCAGTGCACATTCTGTCAACTTTTTTCAAATATTCTCAGTCATTCTGTTCTGAAATTGTCATATGTCCCCTTTTCACAGGCGACAATTTGGGTATGGAGCGTATTACTTTGGGTGGAGCAATGGGGAGGTTGAGATCTCCTTACATCTAAAGAGGCCCAGGGGCTTGTATTGGTTAGTTTAGATTACTGAGGGGGAAACCCAACCTACGTCCTTTTCTTGTTTTAAGTGCCTCGTTGTGATTATAAGGTGAAATTGTGTTTATTTCGTCAAATTCACATTTAATTTTTTAAAAAACATATATGCTATATTTTTCTAACGCAGGTACAATTTAGACTTATTAACGGAACAAAATGTCGATGGTCACCTTCCAATCAAAGCAACACTATTGTTTCAATATTCAAAATTTCTAAAATATTATGGCCGATTAACTATTTATTTATTTGCATTGTCACCATCTCGCCATGACGAAAGCTGCGCCCTTCTTTGGCTCGAACGCTGGAGATCAAATCACCCATTGAACAAACGGGAAGTCCCCTTTTGACTGACAGTTACAATCAACCAATCGGCTAAGACAATAGTAGCGAAGTATTTAATACGAGGCTGCTCATTAATCGAAGTGAAAGCCAATGGCGAGAGCGGCTGGGAAACACGTACAGGCAGCGTCCACGTTATTTTCCAAACTTTGTTACGCAGTTTCAGAAGTAATCATTCTGGAAATATTACGAATATTGGCATTGTGGTGTTACATTATTAATATATTGCAGTTGCTAGTTAAATGTCAATTAGTCACGTCGATACACTTTAGTTTAACATTTTTGTAGACACCTGTTGTCTTTGTCATCCTATGAAAATATACGTGCATGTAAATTAAAGGCTAATGGGATGAAACCCCCCGCGTAATTTCAGAAGCCTGGATTTATTGCTCTCTCTCAATGACGCAGTCTAACTTTCCAGTCCAAAAAACGTATGAATCATATTTGTGTGTAATAAATACAAAAGATGGGCGTGTGTGCGGTTTGTATTTTAACCGTCTCAATGATTACTCATAGAAACACACGATGTATATTATACTTAATTACATTTAACTATAAAGTTATGCTCGGCCTTTTTAAGTAGTCGCACGCAGTCATTAGAATGACATTTGCAGCAGCATACATTAGACTATGCAAATCACCTTTGTACATAAACTGCTACTCACTTGACTCCAGCAGATGAGGTCACTGGTTGAATGATCCTCGACAAGTGTCCAGAGTTTGCTGAGAAATGCAGGTACATTGCAGTTCTGCTTCATTTCAGCTGTCGCTTTCTGGCGAAAACGACACAGCCCGGAGACTACTTCGGCAGTTATGTAGTACAGTGTAGATGAAAACTGCTTTATTAAAAAAGCAAAATAATCTTATGTCGAATGTTTCCTCGCGATTTAATAAGCTTGAAGCGACACAGCAGGAGTTAAGTGGACGTCAGGAAACATGTGAGTGAAGGTCTGAATCGGGGGGGCGTGGTGTGTGGCCACGCCCATCCATTCCACCATCCAATCAGAAGCGCGGGTGCTCTTCCGCCTGGACCTGACTCCGGTGCCCATGCGGACGCCCGGCATATTAGATAACTGTCCCCCTGAAGACAGCAGTAAATTTGTAAACAAGTACTCATAATGTTGCATAAAATATTAATAACCAGTTGAGCATGACTGCTATTCGGTGTTTTTTCGGACAGCCACAACCTTGGATGTACGTAGTGTGCACGATCGGGTTGAATGTCTGTCTAGTTAACAGTTTACGCCGTAGTATTTGATGACAGGTATATCCAGAGTAATTTTATAAATTTCACATACAAAACAATAACTAACCTTAGACTTTTACAGGGAACGATTATCATCCCATATCATATACTGCACATTCATGCATTAAATTCAATGTCATTGATTTGTAAATTATCGAACTAAATTGAGTCGCATTGCGAAATCAAACGAAGCTAATTTTATTCTATTCCTATTGTATGACACACATAATGGCTTTTAACATTTTCAAATTGAGTAAGCTTAATTCAGAGATTACAATAAAAATGAGTATTTTCGATGCAGCGCGTGGTTTCTGGTCGCCTCCATCAATAAATTCAATTTTTTTCCATTTTCTGGAGCAAAAATAATTTAAAAATTTCCTTTGTTTTCTTGTACTTTTCCAAAGCATTATTATCATATTATTTTACATAAAATGCGTGATTGTACTCAAGCCCTAGGCAAAAACCGAAAAGAAAACCTTTATTCAAATAAAAATAAAATAAACCACACCAACACACCACACCTTTGTTGTTCATCTGGCATTCAGAAATTAACACACAACCGATATAATTGTTATGTTTTAAAGTATACAAAATGAGAAAAAAACATCCTACATTAAAAATTTCCTGAAAAATGTCATAGGCACCTTTCTAAGTAAATAAATGTAAAAAAATTACATTTATTGGATTTAAAATGGTCACTATAGTATGCCTGTGGTGGGCCAGTGGAGAGAGAACTTTAAGAGAGAAAAATGTACAAGATAACAGTGAACAGAGAGCCAATCCTGAAGTGCAAACATTAAAGAAAGCACAAGAAGGTCAGAGTGAAATTATACATAGAGGGCTTATTCAGACTGCAAGCTACATGGATAACTTTGAATATAAGAGAATGTGTACTTAACACTAGTTAAATATTGTAATAAATAAGATACGGAACCACCAACATAAAGTGAAGACAGGCCTCCATTCAGACCATTATAGTTTGCTGTTTAGAGATAAAATGAATGATAAAAATGATAAAGGAAGGAGAGGACAGACTGCCAGTTTCAAGAGCAAAACACATGGGAAGCACCTTCTGAGGCTGAATGTACCCCCCCAGTCAGCGCTGGGGGGTGTCTGTTGACTGGGGGGGTCTGCACTCAAGAAACAGGGCCTCCCCCCCAGTTGGCTCATATGCTATGGCGCTGGACCAGGGAAAGCCATCCTCTGGCTCATTACCAGATAAGGGAGGGGGGAGGGGGCTTGCAGTCTGAGGTGCAGTTCGGTAAGGTGCAGGGTTTCCTGTAAGGAGGAAGGGCACATAGGAAGGGATGGCAGCGAACTGGACCTCAGGCATTCTGTTCACCATCTCAGCACAATACTGATGCTGAGCACATTCATTTAAGGCCTAAGAGCTTTATGCATTTCAGCATGGAACATTTAAGTGTACTGAGCAACATTTAAGCATGAAAAGAGCAAGAAAGATCAAATGCTGCCGGGTAATAATCAATTCACGCTCTTCAGGAAGCGGCGGATAAGTGTGTACATGTACGTGTGTTGTCACATCCGTGTAGGGAATGCTTTCCAGGGCCTGAAGTCTGATCAGTCCTGTTCTGGAACATTCCACACATTTTTTAAAAAAAGTATTGATAAGACATCCCTAACACTTAGTGGGTCTGGACTGTGTTTATTCCCAGTGCAGTCACATGAGGGTATGCTCCTTTCACAGGTTGTTGACTTGCGGAAGTTGCCGGAAGCCCCAGCTGGGGCACCAGCTCACTGTAAGCTGCAGGCCGTGCAGCACCGCTCCCGCTCGTCCGGCAGCACCGTGTAGTTCATCTGCCGCACGATCTCCGCGAAAAGCTCGTCCACCATGCCCTTGCTCTTGGCCGAGGTCTCGATGAAGGGGCAGCCCCATTCCTGGGCCAGGGCCCTGCCGTCCGAACCGGAAACCTCCCGCTCCGACTCCAGGTCCACCTTATTCCCCACGAGGATGAGGGGAACCTTCTCGAAACGCTTGACTCGTACTATCTGGTCTCGCATAGGCCTGATGTCCTACAATGGTTAAGGAATAAAGTATGTAAGCAGGTCCTGTTTCTACAAAGGAATAACATGTTCCCGGGATATGCCATACAAATACCTTTATACAATTAAAGCATGAAATGCAGAAAACACGTGCAATCTATGACTACAGATTTTACTGAAACCGGTAGTGATTTGTACCTGGAATGACTGGTGGTTCACCAGGCTGTAGACTAGGATGAAGCCCTGGCCATTCTTTATGTACAGGTCCCGCATGGAGGCGAACTGCTCCGTCCCCGCCGTGTCCAGGATTTCCAACACGGAGGGGCACGAGTCCACCTCGATCTCTTTCCGGTAAAAATCCTCTATGGTGGGATCGTACTTCTCTATGAAGGTGCCGGTCACGAACTGGACGGTGAGCGCCGACTTGCCCACGCCGCCGCTGCCCAGCACTACCACCTTGTACTCCTTCATGGGGGACCGCAAGCCGGGCAGTGCGGAGGGAGAGGCGTGCAGACAGGCCTGGCTTCAGCTGGAGCCCCGGCTCTCACTGCAGGTTAGCGAGCGCTGTCCCGGCGATCTCCGCTGCATCGACCCGGAACGGAGCCGAAGTATAATAAACCCGACACGTCTGGAGGCGAGCTGCGGGAAAAGAGGACGCGGCGTCGGCCTGGCCAGCCGGGGGCGGCGGCGTTAGCAAGGGACCCGGAGCGTCGCCCGGAGGTGCTAACTAACTAAACGATTAAATAAGTGTAAATAAGCACCATCGTGTACTCATGCGTAACTAGCGAGACTGCTCGCGGTTTAGCTAGTCGGGCAGGCGCCGGAGAGCCGATCGCTAACGAGCCCCATAAAATGTTAGCATCCGGCTAGCTGCAGCGTCCGGAATCCTGAGCGGCCGGAGCGGCGCCGGGAGCGGCTAGCAGTTAGTCCACTGCCCGCCCGTGTCCCCTCGGCGCAGCGGCTCATTCCCATCTCGGGGGCAGTGTGATAAACACAGCAGATTCTGGCGGCGAGGCACGGCGGTTACTTTACCCGGAAGAACCCGCACTTTCAGATACGATTAACCCTTAACTCTTAACCCTGAAACAGAAACCAGGGAGCGGCGGGCGCCTCCCACAACCCAGCCGCGGCTCGCCCGGCTGCTTACAGGCGGTATATAGTACCCGGGCTGCCAGCTCTCACCCTTTTGGCGTGATATTCACGCAAGCAGTCTTACGGCAAATCTATATTATTCCGTTATAAACCTAAAACTAGCTACATCAGAAGCGTTGGGGCAGTTTGCAAACCCTACATACTAATAAACCCTTATATAGCCTACATGTAAATGAGTGTGCAGACTTGTCTCGAATTTAAAATCCTCACTCCAGCTGACTAAAGTTGGTGACACTGTTAATACCCTTTTTTTGTATTATTATATTAAATCTCTCCATCCCTTAAAGTGTCCTTATAGTGATTTGTATTTCAGTGAACAGCGGGTCGCTTTAAGGGTCAGTGCCATCAGGGCTGAACATAAACCCGTTTACTTTTGTGGTATACTGTATGTTGCTATGATATGCTACCGCAGATGCACTGTACTCTTCTGTAAACCTCCAGCACCAGAAGCTCGGGACTATGTGTAGAAATATGCACGGGAGGAATGTGCCTGTCCGTCACGTTCATGATTATCCAAGTACAGATATGCACTGTGCGTAGGAGAGCCTGGATCTCTATCAGCAGGGTAGGGAGACTGCTGTTACCCTGTGCTTTGGACAAAAACATCCGCGAAATATGCAAACCGCGGAATAAACTAGTATAATTTATAGTGAATTTATGGAATGGGCTACATTACTTGCAGGAGTTCACATTATTTAAATCAGTTTAATTACATCCCAGGTTCTTCATCACCCTAATAGAAAGGTTTGCTCAAATGTGAAAAGAGCATTGTGAACAGCCAGTGATAAAGGTCTGGCGGTCAGGTTTTTTTTTTTTTTTACTGCGGCTTCTGTCCAGTTATTCACAACAACTCATACAGCTGCCATAAAACAAGCCCAGTAATGTTCAATTTAAGTGCTTTATTAAAAGTTCAAAAAATAACAGAAGTAATACATTTTTAATATTTATATTGTTTGTATATATATACACACACCGAAAAAAAATGCATTAAGCACATTTTTGACACACACAAAAGCACTACAATCTAGTAGAAAGAGAAAGAACATCTAACAAATTTCCCGGGGAAAAAAAACATTTTCTGTCGTGTCCTGTAGTGGAGGAGGGAGGAGTCTAAAATATGGCTTTGAGACAATAAGGACATTCACTTCTCTGAGCTGAACAGATGAACGTTGGAGCGCACATCAACACTGCAGTATTGAAACTTCCCCCCCAGTGCATGTGTGGGAAATAAACTGAATCCCAGGCACCTCGTAACATATCAGCCGTCTGCTGAACAATGTCTTACAGGTTGCAGAAATCGACCCTTTGCTCTTAGTCAGAGGTATAGGGTTTTAAACACGCCATATCATACTCCTGTTCCACAGTAAAATCCGTCTCACCCGCTCACACATTCTCCGTTGGATTGCTAGTTAGCTGCGGCTCCTGTCGTTACAATGATTACAGGACCGTTCAGTTACCAGAATTGGGTTAGGCAGCAGCCTGAGCTGAGAGGCTGACATTCACACCACAGTGAATATTTAGGCACGAGAGTTCTGCACTACAGTAGCTCCACAGATTTCAGCGGTAACAGTACGTTTCTATGGAGCCCCACAGTGGAAGTGTATTCATTTAGAGGTGTCTAATTGTTTGTCTCTGATTTGCAGTCAATACAGGGAATTAAATGCTTTGGGTCTCTGATGGGTTTATTGATGCATACGCGGGCACACACACACACACACACACACACACACACACACACAGACACACACGCACACACACACACCTGTGCAGGTAAGTGCGAGACTCTGAGTCTTTGGTGTTGTAAACTGTCTAAAGGCTGTGGACCACTCACAGTGACCCAATAAGACTCCACTCCCCTCCACTGCTAGGACACAAGTGCCATGGCAACAAAATTATTGGCTTCCGACGCCATCGAGGAGCATCATTCCATCACATACAGACTTTCTTCTGGATGTGGGTTTATATATAAAAGAACAGTGTAGCTTGTCTTTGCAATTCAGTTAAGAGATTTTGACGGAGAAGAGATTGATTTGTAGTTTTAAATCGGCGAAAAGAAAAATGTAATCCATGGAGCATTTCATACCATAATGCAAGGTAACCGCTAATAAAAGCTGCCTGCACATTTGTTGAAATAATGGGCCAAATGTTCTCCAGATCCCAAAGACACTCGTATACTCAGCAGTCAGCTCTGCAGGACCACTCTGTGTTGCCACCTAACTGAACCATTGGAAGACACTTAGAAGACATGCTTTTCTGTACTCAATACAAACCAAATATGCCTGTTATATTTCCACTCCTACAGCGATGTCTCACAAGAACACATGAAATCCGAATTGAGTAAAACCCCACCGCTCGGTTACTGCGATACAGCTTCAGCGAGGTTTTTCCTCCTGACACTTTTGTAACAGGCGTACTCTGTTTGAATCGACTGCAGAAAAGTTTGTCGCACGGATTTCAGTTTGGGTCCAATCAGGTTGGCAGCATTACGTAACATGACTAGGCCTCCGAGAGCAGTCGTTGGCCTGTCACAAACACTCATGGGAGTTTTACTTTCGCAAAAATGTTCTGAGGGCAGAAAGAAAAAGGACTGGTTCAGAGAGATAACCATTTCAGATTATAGACCAGTTGGGTCCAAGCAACTGGAGGAGGTGGGACCAACCAATCAGATGTCTTGGTCCTGCTTCCTCTATAATCTTATTGGTTATCTCTCTAAACCAATAATTTTTTCCTTCTGCCCTTAGAACATTTTTGTGTAAGTAAAACTCCCACAAGCGTCACAAACGAGCAGGATACAGCAGTGATACTGACAGTAGGCTGGGGACAGCAAGACTCATCATGCACAAATATGTACAATCTGAGTCTTAAAGCCATCCTCACACTAGACAATCAGAAATGTCACCAGGCATCTTGTTTTCTGCGTGTGCAAATGCTAAACTGTCCATGTCAGGGATCAGGCTACAGAATAATCAGGAACCGGAAACTGAGGGGCCGATCCCCGAAAAAAACTGTCCTAGATTATGAGAGATGGGTATAATTCCTCTTCCCCTGAACACTGTAGCCACTTTCTGAACCACGCCCTGTACGCACTGTATTCAGGATCACAGAGAGATGGCCCCAATATTTCCTTTATGCAGACAAAAGTAAATCAGGATCTATCACACAAAAACCCTCTGAACAGCAAAGCGATAACTTGCCTTATGACAACAGACCAAAAGCAAATATAAAACCAAAAGGGCCCTAATCTACCCCTTTAACACTCTAAAAATGACCATTACATTTCCATTTTTGGTAATAATCATTTTGTTTGCTTCTATATATTGGAAATCTGTTGGCTTTTTTTTTTTTTTTTTTTTTTAACTTAATATGTACATAAGTGCAAACACAGGTGAACGTCACGCATCGGTACACCGATTGATCGAAGCCCCTCAACGATTAAGAGCAAGACCCCCAGAAGGGCGGGGCAGCCCAGAGACACACGGGCTGGGCCAGGGATAGAGGACACTTTCACACCCAGTGTAAATCCGAAATGAGACAAGCAGAGTTATCAGAAACTTCATGAAAGCACTAAAGTATATGGACAAACAGAGCAAACCATTTAGTATTTCTTGATGCAACTGTATTGATTGATGGGAATGCTTTAAAAATTAATTTATGTTAAAAATGTTAGCTAAAGTGTGCCTCTCCCCCCCCGCCCCCCCAGAGGTGGCCCATGGCTAATCTCCTCATTAAAGGGCCTTTGGAAATTCAGGTTTTTCTTGATTTTCTTACAAATGTTTTTTTTTTTTAAACCAAAACACTCTAACTCACCATTCTTTTCTGAATAAGTTAATGTCGTACATTTCAGTTTACGTGTGAAAAAATTCACAATTAAGGTATACAAAGGTAGCCATGTTGTAGTTTTGTTGCCATAGCAACAACTTAATATCTTAAATAACAATGAATCTATCATTGTAGTTACATACAACTGTTATACATCATATTTTGTGTTACACATCATAGTTTTTAATATAAATGTGTTTTAATATTTAATCTTTTTAAACTGCAAGCTACACAAACAGATTATGGATTATTTTTTTGTATTCATGCTATAGTTTTTTAATGAATAATATACAAATGGTTTTCTTAGGGAAAAAAAAGATTTACGATTAAAAATACATAAAATGTTACCAGCACTTCCAGTTGATATTAGAACGTAATTTAAGACTATTACTAGACATTATATTTGATAGGAAATAATCAGCACAATACAGCAAACATAAGAGGTCAACTTATAACTCTAGTAAATGTATGATGAATGATTAGTAAGAGAAATGTCTTATTTACATTAGGATTAATTAGATTTAATTAACTCCTTGTACAATAACACCTTTTAAATTTTGAAAGTACTTAACCCTAAAGCCCCCCAACGAGGCACATTTAATAATTTTTTTTCTCAATCAAGTCATTTATTTTTCCAGCTCAGCAGCAGTTGGAGAAGGCATAATTTATGTGTGGGGGGGGGAGGAAGAGAGAGAGAGAGAGAGAGGGAGAGAGAACCACAAGAAGAGAAAACACCCACCAACACTGTGTCTGCAGGCCTTGTTTCAGTCTCTCTATATTACAGACATCCTTGGTAAAGCTATTGATTTTTACTATGAGCAAACATTAAGATTTCTCCTGGCCAATCAGCTTCCATTAAGATTTCTCCTAGCCAATCAGCTTCCAGTCAGTTTGAAACTACAGGTGTATAAGCAGTATGCTAAACCTCGGAATCCATTGACGAATCACTGCTCCTCCTTTCATGGCCCACAGCAGCCTTTCGAGGAACACAGTGCACTTACCAAAATACAATAATAATAACAATATTGATCAGTTATAAGAAAAATATCAAAATATCACCTTTTCGTCTGTACCATGTATGTAACCTGCGCAGGGGAAATACCACCCATGTCAGGGGTGATTCTAGGATAGGTGGGGGGCATAAGAGAGACTATCCTTAATATTAGCCAATGATATGCTTTGTATTGGTGAGTGACAGGGGAGGAAGCACGCCAAGGGCCAATCAGCTTTCAGCTGGGGCCACACCCCTTGTGTGGTCCCACCCCTGGCCCATCTGCGGAACTCCGCCCTAATCTCCTCTCCTCTAACCATACATCAATAAACAAATGTTCACCGAGAGCCATGACGGCTCTTCAGCCGCTTAAGTCCAGGGTATCAGTGTAATCATGGAGAGGAAAACCAGGCCAATCCAGAGAGCTAAGCCCAAATGAAGACAGTAGGTGACGTATGACCATCACATTCATGACTGATGAACAACTGCTGTGCAGCATATAAGGGTTTGATTTCAGCCACAAGGAGACCATCAGAGGGCGCTCGTGTGTGCAGGGTGCTGAGCGGCTTCCGGGCAATAGGGGGAGTCTCTTGTACAATCAGCAAAATAAAAATGGATTCCAGCACCATCCTTAGAGTGCGTTTAAAATCTGCTCCTGGCAACCTGGCAACCCAATGCACAGACATGTTCTCCTGTACATCTCAGCTAAGGCCCATCTATCCCAGTTAAGCCTCTTAAAACAGGACCCAGCGCTCATAGTTTAGTCAATTACAATTTCTCCACCAGCTTAATTATTACTTAACAAATTAGTTAAATAACTCAATGGGGTCCTGATTGGCCAAACAAGCTGAGGTCACCAAACACATGGGTGTTTTGGGCAGGGGCTGCAAATCCTGGGGAGACTTTAGTAGAGGTTTTGAATTGGCTAAGCTGACACACTTTGACTGACATCATAGAATATCATGAATATCATTTAAACATCATTTCTCTTGGCTGCCTAGCCTCGTGCACAGTACCGAGTCCATTTTTCCACCAACAAATGGCCAGCACTGGGTGATTCCTTTTAAGGGGTTAGGGGATAGAAAAAAAAGTGTTTTCTTTAGGTCTGATGATCTTTTCACCATGACTGTTGCATCTTGATCAACAGAAATTCAGATCAACACAACTGGCAAATCCTACAATTTAGTTCAGTTGACAGCAGAGCATTAGAACATTCAGCTCTGCAGGGTGGTAGATTTCCAGCAGGGCTGGTCACCTTTTTAAAGCTAATGAATGAGAGGTTCTGTCGTTTCAATGCGGGTTGGCCAGGATCAGATGTGAAACCCACTGCCTGTGAGATGCTCATTCCTCCATTAAGAAAACTGTGCTAATCTGCTTGAATCCATCCTTCATCTCTCTGCCCTGGAAAGTTTGCTCATTGGAGTTTTACTTACACAGAAATGTTTTGAAGGCAGAAGGAAAAATGATTGGTCCAGAGAGATAACCAATCAGGGTCCAAGCAACTAGATGAGGCAGGACCAAGACACCTAAATGGTTGGTCCCACCTCCTCTAGTTGCTTGGATCCACCTCTTCTACAGTCTGATTGGTTATCTCTGTCAACCAGTAATTTTTCCTTCTGCCCTCAGAATACTTTTGTGCAAGTAAAACTCCCATGAGCTGAAAGAAACCTGCCTTACGATGACGGGCCACAATTCCCCCCTCCTCAGCCACACTAATCCATTATACAGACATGCCATCATCATCACTTACACTCTTCAGACACCCTTGGGGGGGGGGGACAGACTTTCAGGAGAGGCTCTACGAGCTCATGGCACCGGTTTGTCCCAGGATGTGTCACTAACCTTTAGCACAGTGATTATGAAAATGTAAATATATTAAACGCTCATCCTGACCCCCAGCTGAGGGAGGACCTTCCTAAGCAACTAAAATTCACATCAGCTGTATAAGCATCCACCCCATCCCGATTTGGGTCACTCACTGAAGGAGTTGCTTAGATGAAGAATATTCTCCATTCCCGTTACAGACACTAGCTAAACAAAAGGCACCTGTTAAACCCACAGACTCTAAAGGGTTCGACGCTTAACCCTAAACTCTTATAGGGTAAAACTACAATCTGAGTCTCTTTTCTGGAGACCTCAATGATTGACACTTTTTTTTTAGCCTTTTTTTAAAAATTTTTTTTAAATGTAAACATAAAACCATCAACGCTTTTAAAACACCGTCCTTAAAATCAAGTGATCAAAATAAATTGAACCCTTTGAATAAGAGTCTTCATTTTGTTCCTGGTTCTTCGTTCCGGGAGGTCCGGCCACATCTGGACCTGCTTATGCTGAGTTTCAGCCCCCTGACCATGTGGCATTGTTGATTTCGAATGAACAGACATTCAGGTGTGCTGGTTCGTGTAAACGCGTCCTCGGCTCGTACCCGGCTACGCGCTCACTGTCTATCACGTGTGAAGAGCCATACTGGGTCATCACTATGGTTTCAGATTAACGAGTGCTTCACGCCAGTTCCGCTGCCCATCTCTGCCTCAGTGACGGGTTCCTTTGCTGCGTGTGGGACACCGTTTGGTGTTAATCTCAGCATGGCTTATTTCTGCAATCTACTTGGTATCGTCTAAGTGACTGTAGGTCACAAATTCATCATGGGTCCATATTATCGCCAATTCCTGATCCAGATCAGGCACAAGTTTTTCGTTTTCGACTAACTTTTGTGTCCCTGGGTGGGATTTAGGGTCGGCACGGTGAAGGTCATTTAGCTTGGGTTCCGTGAAAGGCTTACTGGGTTCAGAGCCACCTGAGTTGCCACCAACACTTCCAGGATGGGGTGGAATGGACTTTCCATGGGGACACAATGAAGATCCACTGGGCCAATGCTCAGAACCTCGTTGGGGTCTACTGGGAAAAAAAGGACATGAACAAAGAGGGTGAATCATCAGAATCATAGACGACCGCAGGGCCTACAAATGCAGTTGGTGGCATGCAAATTAATACTGCTCTCCCTGGACCTTCCCTGAGATACACCTTAACTATGAGTCTACAGTCAAAGTACGAACTGTTGTTACATCTGATGTTATGAGTTTTTGACATGATATTGATAAATGTGACATTCAGGACAAAGATGGTCAAGGCCAATTTTTCCTCCACTAGGATGGTTTGGTTCGGGTTGGACACAATGCTGACAAACGTTGCGTTTCACCCCAAAGCTTCCCAGCAGAGAGGTAGCAAAGCCATCTGAACACATCAGCATTCAAGCAGAAGTTCCTCACCATTCAAACACAAGCCTGAAGACCAACACATCTTTACGACCTACAAAGCCATGTTTGTACTCTGATACTTCACCACTGTCTACTAGATAAACCACTTTCCCACTTGTCCAAATATCACATCCAACGTGATATCTCGCCTACAAACGTTCCAAATCCTGGTTTGACAAAGCCAGTTTCACTGAGATGCTCTTGCTGCATCTTATTACCTCTGGATATACAGAAGATTATATCCAAGCCAGACTGAATAAATTATTTTAATGAAAACCAACGAGCGTGACCAGGATTGGGAAAAGTTGAACTTCAGGGAATAGGCCAATCTATTTGATCCAACAGCAAATAAATGCTAACAGTTTGTCAAAGTCTAAACTTACCTAATTAAGAAATGCCACTCTTAAATGCCTGTGATAAAAAGAACATGGGCGTTTCCTACACAAAGAGTTTCATTCTAAAACTGAGTGCACAGGTTCATTCAAAAAATTTGTCCTGAAAACCAAGTATGGTCTCATCAGGTCTTCCAGACCTCCACAGGAAAACTTAGCTACTTTTACACGACTTAAACGTATCAGCTGAAATGCTTGTCATGTGCTTAGATAATTAGCCTCATGAAGCACATAATCAGTCCAGTAAAATAGTTACTTTACTTTAGCATTTCAATTTTCAACTTTGTGATACAAACATGTTGCTATTCGGTTCATCTACTGATAACTGGGGCATCTATAGTGGAAGAGATTTCATATTAGATTGTGCTTAAAGTAAAAATAGCTAGACAGCCTTCAAGTATGAATTCAAATGATGGGGATAGTTTATTGTAGCTAGTTTCCTTTCCATGTTTTGTTCATTTTCTTGCTTTGCTGCTCTGACAACACTAAAGTTAGCTGCTCTCCAGCACATTTTGGGTTAGAAAGCATTAAGGAAAAAAAATGCTTTGTTTTTAGTAATAAAACTAATCACTGCAGGGAAACCTTTTGGCTACTTTAGCATTTTAATTGCTGTAGGATAAATAGATCTTTTTTTTTCCAGAAACAGCTGAATATTTTATTCATCTCTAGGAGGTATCCTGTAATGGTCATACTTTTAGCGTGACGCGGCATATACCTGCACACGCACACACGTGTTACATGTGGATGATGTGTGTCACTCTGTAAGTCTGATATTCCTGAAACACTACTAAACTGGTCAGTCTTCATTCGGAGTTAAGATGTAGCTTTTAAAGTACAGTAAACAAAATAAATGCATTTTTAATATTTGCAATATATTATTAAAAAAAAAAACTTACTTTTCTACTTTCATTGGTTACATCTGTGATACAAACATGTTGCTATTCAGTTCATCTACTGATAATTGGGGCATCTATAGTGGAAGAGATTTCATATTAGATTGTGCTTAAAACAAAAAAAAAAAATTAATAGTAATCAAACTCTCAAAAAGTCCTTAATACCAGGCACAATATATATGGTGTCTAAATCCATATCAAAATGACATTTCTTGGCCAGGAAGCATGACATTATATATGCTATACATTGGTGACATTGTCCATTACTATTTAGTTTACATTACACTGCACAGAGAACAGAGACACTAACCCCCTACTGTGCCCAGGAAAAGATGGACACTCATTAAAGACTCATTAAAGAATTGCTCTGAGGAGAGATTTCATCGTGTAAATAACAGAGTCATCTAATGCATTGGGGGACAAAACAGCATCTTTAGCGATCTGATGGATAGATAAGAAGGAGCGAAGTCTTAATTCACCCCATCCTAATGTCAAGACACGACGCCTGCGTGTGAGGACACCTAAAGACAAACACACACAGCGGCCAACAACGACATACGGTGGGATGAGATAAAAAAAAGACCCCAGATCCACCTAGATTTGCAAAGAACCCCAAGTTACCCCAAGTTCCTTCGTAATTACTAATTGTATTTTTTATAGTTGGTGAGCTTGACATGGTTGACCGGGTATTTCCTCCAATACCATGCTGCCTTATAAAGGTTAAGCATGGCAGATAAACCCCCCCCAGCAATTAAAGGCACAGGAAAGGCGCAAACCTGATTGGAGGCTGAGGTGTCAGCGAATGGGACGTTGGTGACTGGTGTCGTGGCCGACGTCAAAGTGGAGGGCGTGGCGCCGTGCATCATGGGAACTTTGTTGAGGATAGGCGGACGAAAGAGAGGGGGAGGCAGATCGGGGGGGGGCATGGGGGGGCGGGTGTGGAGACAGGTCAGACGAAGGACAAGAGTACGTAAAACATCAGAATATCAATAAAAAGTCACCGATGTCAAAACAGACATTAGAAACAAAAACAGATCAATCCACTCTAATATTAGCGTAAGAGAAAAAAATAAAGTCAGAACTACAAAGAATGTTGAATTTCAAGAAGACTCAAACACTCAGATGTCATACAGTCATGTTCACAGTCGCTGTCAGTCTGTGTGTAACCTGTCGTTATGATTTAATCAGTATGTTTTAATGAAGGTGGGGGCTCCCAGCCTGCCGGTGCACAGCCAGTTTGCGTACACAACTACACGTACTTTCCACAACTGAACTATATGACCCCTCTATGGAACGCATTAATACTCAAAGAAATATATACAGAAATACACATATAAATATATTAAATGAATAAATAAATATTTATTTATTTATTTGATTTAGAGTACTATGGCACTACCCCTCACCCCCCCTCACGTTTGCATCCGGGATAAATGCAAATGAATGGAATCACCGGTCAATCTGAAACGGCTGGGAAGCTCTGAGCTAAAAGGACGTTTGTGGGTGCAGGTTCCTGACACAGATCTCGCGTTAGGGTTCATACTCTCGAGTTTGCATCAGTCACATTACGAGAGATTTGATGCTTCATTAATCCGCAAAGGACAGTTTATCTTAACCCTAAGCGTAATGACAAAAGTCTTCATATTTTGGTCATAAAGCAAAACTCATAAAAGTCAAACTCATAAAAACAGGAACAGAGGCAAGTTCACATACATCAAGCAGAGAAATAAAGTACTGATACAGGGAACAAACAGAGGGCAGACACAGAAAAACAGAGAAACACACACACACACATACCCGCATAGTCTTTTATTTCTATGGGCATAACGCAAATTCCAATAATGACAACCTTAACCCCTACCCAGCCTTAACCTTAACCATAAGTATTCAAACACAATACGAGACTTCAGGCATTTTTAGTTTTCTGACTGCACGCACAGATTTTTATTATAATAACGGGTTTTTATCACACACAGTCAGCCAGTCCGTATCTGTAACTGCTTTTTATTGGACCCGAGCTAGAACCCTGACACAGAGCATAGACACATCTTTCACACTAGTGTTGTGCTGGTGCTGACAGGGAGCTGGTTCTCTGTTGGCACCGACGTGGATCCAGCTGAGAACGGGCCCATATTTCCACTGGTTACAAAAAACACAGGTAACAGACAGCGAGCATGCACACGATGTTGGCCATGTGACATTTTTGAGTTCATCAAATAATGTTGTTTGACTGAGGATGTTTAGGCTAATGCTAACTTAAGTGTCGGTTCTTTATCAAAATAGCTAGCTACATCACAAAGCATTAGTAATTAATATTTATAACCAATCATCCAAAATTAACTAATATTAAGTACTAATAACTAATCACCCAAGACTTCAGTTTCACCAGAGTCATTTAACTACACACCTCACCATCTTGTACGGCCCTGTGGTTCCTCCTCTCTGGGAATTCTGGGCACTGAGAGGAAGTCCCCAACCCCCCCCCCAACGAACCTGGGCGACTCCGGGACAGGCGAAAACACGGGGATGAAACAGCCCACAGGGGCAGCTGGGGGGGAGGGTCGGGGGGACTCCACGTCACACTCTATGAGGTGGGTTCCGATTGCTAAACTTTAATTGCTGGTGTAGAAGGGTAAACCGGCCAAGAGGGAGCCTGTCGCCACCCTGCTGAGTGCCCAGCGGTATCTGCCTTCCCCAGGGTGCGGAGAGGAGCCGGACACCCCCCCTTCCCTGACAGGCCGACGCGGCCAAACTCACACAGGGCCCGGTGCAACTGCGGCTAAGGTCAGGACGTGTTTACATGAGCAGCCTCTGGAGAAGCTCCAGCATCTCAGTGCTTATTTATAACGGGCTTCAGCAGCTGACCTGCTACTCATGTCATTGGATACACAAGTACGTGAGGAACGGACACGGGAAGGTCGCTTCGCTACCAGCCACGTATCACGTAGATTCCTCACGTGTTGGGCAGCACGTTCCACGCGTCGCGCCGAGCGCACTTACGTTGCTCGGCTTCTGCCGCCATCTTGGTGCTTCGGAATTCCCTCTCAGTCTACAGTCTACAAATCTCATTTTCCTCGTGATTTCCATGCCTCCAGCAGGACCCTTAGCCCTTCTTGTGTGGCTTAAATTATCATTTAAGCCACACAAGCTAATACTGAAACAGAGTAAAGTAACACAATAGCAAGGTTTTACTGTTCCGCTGAACCCGAGCTACACGGCACGCTACGCTAACTTGACCTAAGGGTGACGTAAATTGCGTCTTCAGGGGTGTCTGCCGGACTGTGCGCGTGCAGCCCAGATTTTTATGCCCAGTGGACATTATGCACGTAGATTGTGCATGTGCAAGGTAACTGACTAGGTGTTCCCAGTAGGTGGCAGCAGTGACATTCACAGAGCAGACCTCAACCATGAAGAAGTAGAAGAATAATAGTCGTTGTTCTTGTTTTGTTGCCAGTATTTCAAAATACTGTGGTATAGTGTATTACTGTAATTCTGTCCATGCATAGTAATAAAGTCTGGTGGAATATCACATCTGTATGCATCCACCGACTGTAACCATCCACATCCGCAGCCAAATGTATTATATACACACAACAGTCTACGAATGGACTGTAACGGAAGTATGAACTGGGTAAAAGACTGTGCTGTGTGGGTTAATGACGACACTGTGTGCGATCCGGAGGCCCGGTGTCAGACCCAGGACTCCCGAGAGACTGGAAGCTGCGCAGAAAGGCATGACCAGCACAGGAGCCCAACCCCGCCCCCCCCCCCCCCCCCCCCCCAGCTTACCAGTGGGGATGAAGGCCTGCTGCTGCAGCTGCATGTTGGCCAGGGCCTGCTGGTAGTGGATCACGCCGGGGCTGAAGATGGCGGGGGCTGCCCCGTTGGCCTTGTCCACACTCGTCCTCTTTGGTAGCGGCTGCAGGGCCGCCGCTGGGAGCGCCTGGGGGGGGTGGGGGGCAAACTGTCATCAGAGGCACTGAGACTGGGGGGGGGGGCGACACAGCATGGGCGCTTTTCATGTAGCATCAGGGGAAGGTCATAAAAGTTTTGCGAATTTGGAGAACGTGAGCAGCCAGCGGCCTGTGAGACACCAGCGGGACGTTTTCACAGAGTCGGCGACATTTATTTCAGGAACACGGCGCGCACACGGCTCCCATAATCCGCTCTCGCACTGCTTCACGGCGTGACGGATTTCACTATTCCTGGGATCACACCGTCTCACACGGGGACCATGCAGCCTATCGTCATTATTCGAGAGCTGAATTACGAAGACGAAGTGTGGGGACCTCAGTCCTCAGCAGCACAAAGCGAACTGATACGTCTCCAGAACCCCTTCACAGATTCACATTTCTGCAGTTTAAGATACAGAATACAGTGAAGCATACAGTGAAGTTTAACCCCAAAATGCGTGTCTAAAGCATTCATCCACTGTTTCATTTATCCATTCTTTCAGCAAGTTGGAAACTGAATTATGAATTAAATCTGCCCTCTTCTTGAAGAATTCGCCAGCATTTCACCAAGTGATTCAACAGCACTGTTACACAGTCACGTAACGCAACTCGGATTATGCATCATGCTTAGCTGTACTAGGAGAGGCACACACTACAGATTCTGTAACACGTAGTTCATTTGGTTACTAAGTTTAGTTATACAAGGTAATCTTAAAATAGGTTTTGTTGCTGTAAAGAGGAAACTTGCAGCATGAATGCAGAGCTTGCCGGTAGTGTTTAATGATTCATTTTCCATACGTATGGACTGCAGTATTTGAACACTGCATTCTTTCACACCTTTCACACAACCCGCATTAGTCACAGGACGCATTAAGCGCCGCAATTCTCTGGAGGAACTTCAGCTGCGGCTCGGGGGACAGTCAGCTGCAGCGTGCAAAGGGACGCTGCTAATACATAACGGACCGGACCGGGGGGGCGAAAATGGGCTCGAGAACTAGCCGGTCCCGGGATGGTGGGCGGATCCCCCCGTGTTGGCGGTGAGGCATGTGATCAGAAGGAAGCCAATGAAAATCGAGCAAGGGGCGATAAATGAGACAGCGCAGAAATCCGAGATCGCTGAGCAGACGCCTGTAGGGAACTGAGGAAAACAGGATCAAAAAGAGAAAAGTCAGAGGGGAAGAACGATCACCATTTTAAACATGAAGGTCGGTGGTGGGAAAACCAGAATCACTACGTAATCCCCAGAAAGAGGGGCCACAGGAACCCCCCAGCAGCTGGTATCGCTGCACATATTCACGTCTGGCGGTTCTGCGGAAGGGACTCGCTCTCTGTGCCTCAGACCTGCCCGCTCACGCCTTGCCCTGGCGCCCCCTGCTGTGCGACCTGGAGACTGATCCTGAGCTGGGAAGCAGCAGTACGTCGATTAGTCACAAAGACTTAGTGGGAAATGCAGACCGGCTCACTGAGAGCGTCCGGAGCCGGGGCTATTTTAGGGGACGCAGGCGGTGAGTGGCGTTAGCTCTGGGTCAGGGACCTGCACACGTGTGGCCTGATGCTACCGTGCGAGGTGAAGCAGAGACAGTAACTATGCAGACTAAAGAAAAATGGCATCCACAAAAGGAGATGAAATGTGCAACAATCCTAAAAAGAGAAGTGTGTGAAAATAAAAAGAAGACTCTCAGCAAACAGTAAAATAAATGCATGTAATCCGTAATACCCTGCAAAATATGGTTTTAGATAAATGTTTTGTTTGTCCATCTGTCAGCTGACAGGCACTGTGGCGGGCTCCCATCTCTAGCCCCGCCCCCCTTTCCCTGTGCAGTGTCGGCACTGCGGCGGGCTCCCATCTCTAGCCCCGCCCCCTTCCCCTGTGCAGTGTCGGCACTGCGGCGGGCTCCCACCTCTAGCCCCGCCCCCTTCCCCTGTGCAGTGTCGGCACTGCGGCGGGCTCCCACCTCTAACCCCGCCCCCCCTTCCCCTGTGCAGTGTC